TTTAGTATAGATCTAAAACTTGAGGGACCAAATTGGTTTTAACCAATTAACTCTACTTCTTTTTAATGTAATTATTCAAATTCTACAACTTAATATGCAAAATACCCAAATCCTACAGTTCAAACAAAATAGTTAATTGAAACCAAAGAAGAAATGCTTCATAAATTGATAATAAATAAAAAAAAATCATTAAGGCTAAAGACTTTCTAGATATAGAGTAATTTGTTCAAATAAATTAAATTGCAAATTGACATAAAACAAAAGAAAACAGAACAAGTATACAAATTTAGATTTGCATTGTAGGGGCTAACATAGGAATAAATATAAAACTTAAATCCAAGACTAAAATATTTGTTGATAAAGTTGACAAATAATCATGGAATAGGTATAACTTAAGACAGAAAATAATTAGTATAAACTCACAACAACTTGAAATTAACAATGATTTTTTCTCACCATTGACAAATACTAATTAAAAAAATAAAGCCTCTTTCTCAAACAAATTAAAAATCAAACAGTATAATCAATTAATAATTACAATTAAGAAAATTAAAAGTCAACTAATCAATAATTTAAATTTTAAAGCTAAAAGCAATTAATAATTACAATAATTTATAATAGTAAAAGAATGTTCATAAATTTATAAATTCATTGTTATATAATGTGTTAAACAGATAAAGTTATATTTTGAATTAATAAAAAAACGGAATGCAGGTTTAAGTAATAAAATATATTTTGGTGGAGATTTTGAATTAATAATTACACATTACATTTTATAATAGTAATTTTTATTTTTATTTTTAATTGTTTGAATTTTGAAAACAAAAAACTCCAAACCACAATGTATAAATAATTTAATTAACATAAAATATATCTTTATAGTAATTTAACAGTCAACTAGCTAGTGACAATTATCAATTTTATTGTCAAACACTAATTACCAAACAACAATAATTATTAATTATCAACTATCAACTATCAACTATCAACTATCACTTATCAATTATAAACTATCAATTATCAACTATTAACTATTTACTAAATATGGACAGCTAAACCAAACGGCCCTATATTTTTGAGATTTAGTATCTAGAATGTTAGATATACAATTTACAATATAAGGTTATTATTTAAA